AGCAGCAGCAGTAGTATTAGTAGTATTAGAAGTAGCAGCAGCAATAATAGTAGTAGCAGTAGCAGTTGTAAGTAGTAGCAGCACCAGCAGCCGCAGCAGCAGTGGCAGCAGTAGTAATAGTAGTAGAAGTAGGAGTAGTAATGGCTGCACTTCTATAGCAAACCATTTACCTATACTTGATCATTCCACTTTTACAGTCTAGATACAATCTAAGAACAGTAACATATAACTAGATAAAGGAAAACATCAACTGCAAAAATAAAAAAAACATTTTTCCTGTACCTTTTTGCCATCCTTGAAGAGTTGAAATGTTGGCATTGCAGACACACCCTGTKCTTCTGCAGTTTCCTAAAATAAATCATTCAAAGAAAATTGACTTACTTCACTGTCAATAATATTATTATTCACTTTCAATTACTGTACAGCACAACAGGAAAAAGTATGATTTGCAGACTTCTACATGCACACTGTCAGGACAAATTTCAATGCRAAGCTTTGAAGATTTCCTTAAGTTAGGGCATGCAACAGAATGCAGATACCCTGTTGAATCAGTTGTATTCCAAATCACCGACAAGTTTTTGTAACTGTAAGTCAAAAGATTCACTCAAATACATAAATTTACTTACATTATTTTCATCTACATTCACTTTGACAAAAATTACATCCGTGTATTCCCCAGCCCATTTCTGAAAAAGATTGAAGAATGATTTCAAATGTGTACCCCACTCATGGAGGAAATTGGAAATTCTGGAGAGGAAGGAGTTATGAGAAAAAACAAAAAAATAGACTTAGAAAATTCCTGGGGGTAGGTGGGTCCTTTTACAAACTCCCCCTGTGGTGGGGGAATGCATATTTTTTGGAATTACAGAATACTTAGTGACTAAATAGARTGAACCCATCTACTACTATTCTGACAGTTGCCCGGGGGGAGGGGGGTACTCTCAGAAATGAGATGTTTCAAAATAACCTGTTATTTTAAGGACTGAACATCTTACAGATGTCACCARTTCCACAGCAGTGGATCAGAGTAAAAAAGAACAACAATACTAACGTCAAGAGTAGGAGCTATTCTCTTGCAGGGTCCACACCATTCAGCATAGAAATCTACCACCACAAGCTTGCTGGCATTCTCCTTTAAAAAGTTATCAAACTCTTCCTGTTAACAGAATAAAAAAGAATTAAAAAGGGTCACACAAATGACTGTGGCATTTAAGCTCACTATTATCCACGACTCCTTAATCTAGGTCAGTTGATCTAATTTTCATGGAATCAAAAAAGCCAAATTTTATTGAAGTGTTAGGTAGTGCACCTGACTTTCACGAATTCAMTACTTTGGCGCTAGCCATCATATGATATAAACTGTAGTAGGTTGTGTTACGGTCGCCAAAAAGTTTAGACATTATTCTCAGATTTTGTGTGAATGTACTTACTTTAAAACCAATAACATTATTTACTTTATTTTATTTCAGGCATCCCAGCCACATTTTAGACAAATTTGATAGGAAATATAGGCTGTGCAAGTTCTAAATATAGGAAAATATAGGATTTTTTCCCAAAAATATATGCACTTTATAGGAGCTAAGATAGCTTTTCGGTGGCGTAACCAGGGATCGGCCATAAAAAAAATACAGAACAAAAAAAAAAGGGCCCATTTTATTTCCTTCGCCAAACATGCTAAACAGTGTAAAATATAAATGTATCAATTAGCAGTCCTATTTATAGGAAATATAGGAGGTTTTCTTTAAATATAGGCTCTTTATAGGATCCTATACAAATTATAGGAAATATAGGATATATAGGAGGTCTGGGATGCCTGTTATTTGTGTTGGCTTCCRAAATACAAGCAAAATATCAATTAGATTGAAGCTTTTTTTTACTGCTATTTAGAGAAACAAATAAACAAACCAAGTAAATAATTTGTTCAAAAGCCAGTACATTTGTACGGGAATCCGTGTACAATGCCCGACCTCTTAGGTGACCGTAACACAATCCAACACTAYTTATACCATGTGAAGGCTAGTGTTTAAGTGGTCAATTGGTCTCAGGTGCATTCTACCTTTTTGGCACTACCAGCTTGTCGCATGGCATAAATGAAGTTGAATTGTGTTATGGTCACCAAAAACTTTGGACATCGTTCTCAGATTCCCATACAGCCTTGCTGCAGTAAATATTACCAAATGCACTGAATTCAGAGTTCGTAATAAGGCACGTAGTTAAATAAAGTATTCTCTTCTATTTATGAATTTCAGTTTCCATAAAGAGGAACATTATTTTATAATTATTTGTCTTAACCTTTACATTTGATATATATTCTTGCCTTCAATAGTCTTTTTTCTGCCATTAAAACTAGCAGCATGTGGTAACTATAAGAAATTTGCATTTAAACGAAAATCTTTACAAATTTCACAATTACGAAACCATGCCATGCATAAATGAGTTAATCAAGTTAAACTTATGTAATAYTATATTCAAAAATAAATTTCGCGTACACGAATTCTCCTTGGGCCGAAATTTAAAGTTTGATAAAGAATCCTAACATACATAGTGTAAAATTAAGCTAACTTGGGTAAAACACTATTAACATTGAAGCTAAAAAGATGAGTTTACGCGTGAGAAAGTAAATTTGAAATTCCAACATGTGCAATTTCAAGCGAATTCGAAGACTTCGATTTTGTGAATTGCTTTGATCGTTGAGATTGAGCTAAAAACRAGCCAAAACTTCAGGACGTCTCAATTATAGTATAGGCTTACCTTTGWTTCTATCACTTTTATTGGCATGGTGATTCAATAGGTAGAAAATTTCGATTTACTGTACCCTTTAATACTTCGTGGTTGAATGACTTTGCAAAATCAAGTGTCACACAGGGTGACCATACTCGTATTTAGTAATGTTTACCCAGATCCCTAACGTTAGACCTAAACCACAGGGCTCCCACGACGAGGTTGTGGACTTCTTAACAGGTCTAAGCTTTAAATATTAAATTTAAGAGCTTAAGGATATCTGCGCTCAAAATCATAGGGTTAAGAAATACCGGAATAACCACGCCCAATAGAGGAAACGCCATGGTTATTTTAAAACGCAGTAAAAAGTATTCAGTTTACTCAGTTCTGATTTCATATCAGTATGCTTGCTTGCTAAATTTATTTTGCCGCTGCTTGATTGCTGCTTGTAGATTATGTGGAGGGTCTAAGATTTAAAAACTGTTTGTTCTCCGAAAGAAAATTGATTCAGCACTAGGGATGAAATGGGGGGGGGGGGGGGGGGGGGGGGGGGGGGGGGGGAGACGCTATTGCGAAACACGATAAATAGCCAATGAGCGGGCTCTTTGCACATCGGATAAAAACCATATGATTATATTCATTTAAAGGTTTGCTCTTATGCGAATGCCGATGTCATTRCTATTTATACTAAGCCAAACGCGAAAAAATTACTGATGTCTTTGAAGCTTTTTGTACCAAAACTTTTTCATCTTTATCCATAATTACCATAGTCTTTAAAAGTGGAACGAAKACAGAGCCTCGTATAAATTTGAGCATACCGGTTTGGCCGAAGAAGTTGTTCGAAAAAAAATAAAGTTTATAAGCGAATGGAGAACAATTTACTCCGCAAAAAGCATCATTTATGTATGAAGTGTTAAACTTTTTTCAATAAAGTAAAACAGTAATCTGGCCTCTCTTGAACACGTTTGGGACCTCGCCCACTGATCTCTGCGGCATCTAAGTTAAWTTTTTCCACACCTTCGATCTACCTCCTACTTGTACTAGGAAGAGAGCAATCATCAAAGCTTTTCCCACTCTCTCGAATAAACAAGGAAGTGTTTTTTTGTAGAGGGAATGGCCCTAAAACTTAGGATCGGGTAAATTTATTTATTTTCTGAATTTTTTAACGTGGCCGGATGAGCTGTTATGGCACAGCAAAAAAAAATCAACACGACTACCATGTTTAAAATAGTACTTTCTTAAATCACAGGAGCGTAGCTTTACTACACAAAAGGAAAGGATTTATAAATATCCAAATAATCCTACACTTTCACCCTAGCCACTTACTAAACAATACAATGTCCAAATATTTACTTGGCTTGGTGGTCTTATCCAATGAGAGCGCGCGTACCAAAACTATGACGTCAAGGTATTTGTTCACGTGACTAACAACGATAAGTGAGCAATAAATAGAGTCTTGGCAACCAGAGGAATTATCAAGAAACACGTTAAAAATTCATTAAAAAATGAAGGAACTTTTACTCTAGCTTTTCAGGAATCGTTAGAGACTTAGAAGAGATGTCTGATCTTAGTTCTGGAAGATCTGTACGTAATCAAGTAGGTATTTGTGAGGCTTTAGAGCTGATCATTTAGGGATTTTGTTACTGACTTTCTTTCTTGTTCTTTAGCTTGCAGACTTGCATATTTTTGTAGTTCCAGAACAACTTTGGCTTGATAAATACCGTACAGCTTTTAATAACATTGCTCTGGAGTCCGTATCTGCTGGATTTGTTAGGTATGTTGGACGATCTYTTGATCATAATCGGGAATATTCAAAATACCTTTACTCGAGACCTTGATCTAAGTGTCTGTGTTGTCCTTTGAGTACTGTAACACATGGTCAATTGGTTTTCTCATTTGAAAAAACTATTCRTCAACAGAGTTCATCCTGAAACTAATTTACACCAGCTAAGAGAAAGCATTGAAGAACAACTAGGAGAAGATATTATTCCAGAGGAATTTATTTTTCTTAGAAGTGTAGGAAGATGTATGGCTGTTGTAAGTATTCAGAGAAGTGGATGCTTGTACTCTTGTCGAAGTCAAAAAATCGGATAATTTTCTTGAATTTACAGTTTTTCTTTTGGTCAGGAAATATATTGGACCAATTCTACGTTTAATAASCGTGTTTTTGTTTCAAAATCATTGCAAATTATCCAAATACTTGGCAATCAAATGGAGTATAATCATATTGAAGTGAGCTCATAAATCCTCACAAAGAAAATCAATTTGATTTATGTAAACTTAAAAACTTTGATTCAATCTTAGATTTATTGGTTTTTATAGCAAAAACAATAATAATTTGAGACATTATCATTTTTCGTATTTTCGTAACGAGTTTATTTTAAGTTTTAATGATTTTCACTTGTAACAGCTGAAAAATGTTTTCTTTCCTGGATAGGGCGCCATTGGTATTAAGCTTAATGAAATTGTGATCCCATTAAGCTTATGATATTCCGTAGAAAAAATACATTTTTAGAAATGTAAATAAGAAAAGAAAGATCTAAACTTCCTTCCTGATCTGCAAAAACATAGAATATTTGATATTTTTCGTACTTAATGTACCTCTTTTTTTTCCCGGGTCTTTCGATATGATCTTACATTTGAAAGGAATTCTACTGTTGTCTGCGATTAATAAACAGATCTGTCAACTTCCTTTTACTATGTCAACATTAAAAATCACTTTCAAAAAAAAGATTTCCTTGATTTATGCTTGATTATTTTTGAATCAAAATCTTTACAAAATCGATATTTTAACATTTTTATTAAATATTTGTAGGATTGATGAGAATTTGAAAAATTTTTTTTTACTTTCTCACTATTTATTTGTTTTAAACTTATCCATTTAATCCTTTGAGATTATCTTGGTAGCTAAACATTCTAATTTAGACCAAAAAAATGCTTTTTAAAGTTTCTAAGAATAAAGCTTGATAATAATGGCTTGACATGGTGTCTTTTGGTCCAGCCTTTTTGTCTGTCGTTGCTGATGAAAATAGTCATTAATTCATATGAACATAGTTAGATAAGACTGATATTTGACTTTTGTATGTCAAACTCAATTTCCTGTTTCATGCTGTGCCTTTAGTCTTATTGTGGAATGATATTCAAAAAGAGTGTGATAATAGAAAATTAGCTTAAATAGGAAATTGAAAAAACAGCATGAAAAAAGAATATCATCGAGAGAATTTGGGCATGCGGGTTGTCACTTCAAGAGCAAAATAATTAAAGGAGACTTCACAAAATGAATTCTATAGCATAACTTTGAAAACTCATAGAGGTGCTTCCTTACACGTGCTGAGTATTTCTGGTTGTTTTCTTAGGTCAAAGAAAACCAGGAGCATTTGTTAAGAGCAGCAGACTTTCTCCCCCCAATTGTAAGTTATACATATGTGTTAATATTATTGATACTGTCATCTCATTAGCCTGTGGAATTTTGGGATTGGGGCAGCTCGCCCCTCCTCCGCAGTCCTCCCACCCCTTCTCCCTCCCACTTCTCCCCAATTTGGGCTACCGTCTCATCCAAATTGGTGGATGTCAATCAAATGGACTTTTTTGACAATACAGCAGCCATCTTGCCAGTGAGCAAAACAACCTAAGATGAAGGAAAATGTATACAGTTTTGTGTGTTTGTCTTTAATGGATAAAGGTGATTGATTTGCCATCTTAATCCAACTTTTATCGTATTCTCTTGTTGTGCGCTGTTACTGTAACAACACATCATCTGCCCCTGGATGCCCCATAACTCCTTGCGATCCAAGATGGCCACTGTATTGTCCAAGTAATCCATTGTTTTGCAGAAGACAAGGGTTTATATATTAATAGTATAGTAATTACCAATGAATTTTTTCTGATCAATAACTTTTATTTATTAACAATCATTAACAATTATTGTTAACACATGATATGTCCAATAGGCCTATAGTCCAGAGATTTTCCTTCTTCCTGGACTCCATGAACACTACGCCAAACCTGGCACCGACTCCAAGAATGTCGTCATTGCTACACAAGGACACACAACAGGTAACCACATGTTACTTATAAAATGATATTGTCCTAGTTTAAGAGGGTAGCACTTGACAGCCACTTAACGGCTAACAAACCTGTGGCCCTCATTTCATGATCGAATTGGGATTTAGAACTCGATTTTTATGGAGGGAAGAAACTGAAGAACCACAAGAAGAACCACAAGAAAAACCCTTTAATATGATAGAGAATCAACAAGCAACTTTACTTGGATTTCACAGAAAGTCTGAAATTGAACTGAGATTGCATTGGTGAGAGGTGAACATTATACTTCTATGTCACCAATGCTACCCTAAATTCACCTTGCCCATTGCTTGAGTCTCTTGTCAATCTGTGAACTGCTTCACCTTCCCCTCCTCCAATGAACAATAGACTGCCAACTACGCAACACCAATGACCATTCATGTCAGTGCTGTAATAGAGCACCATTGTTAAATTATTATTWTTTTTATTATAACCCAACAAGATTATTCGATTCTGATTGGGGCAAGAGGAGTACAATTACATTGTTGAATGTAGTCTGTAGACTCCCAATTAAGTTGCTCAAGTTTGTTGAGTGTATTTTAAACCAAAACATCTCATGGTTTTCTCATATGATTCGGAATTGTACTCAAGATCGTGCGATTTTCTATGCTAATGTTTGATGTTGTGACTGAATGAGTTCTATTTCCACCTTCAGCTGGAATGTCAACAACACATCCATTTCAGTTGCCAATGATACCCCCACAGTATGCAACCAATCAGCATCTCACAGCACAACCCAGCTACCCAACGCAGAAACGTTACCATGGTAATCAAGAAGAAAATAAAAGATATGAGGATGATTATCAAAGAACGCAGAAGAATGACCAAACTAGATATGATGATGATGATGATAATGATGATGATGATGGTGATCAGAACATCGTTGATAATCAAGACCAAGAGAACAAAACAAAGTATCAGAGGGAAAGCTTTGATGAAGAACAAGTTCATGGCCAGTTTGAAAGCCAGGGTGGTCGTCATAGCGATGGTTACCATGGTGATAGTGAACACAGAAGCAGTGGGGAGAATCAGGACTTAGGTCTGTCTCCACGAAGTCAGAAAAAAGATCACAGTTCAGTTAAATCAAAAAATAAGAAAAACAAACAACACAGAGCTGAAATTACAATCCAAAAGGAGAATTTTCAACCAGCGGAAGCTACAACGTTTCAAATAATTCAACCGGAAGTTGTCCACAGCATTCCCTTCCAGGGTCCTGACGGGGTCTTGATGGCACCGCCGACACCTATACCTTCTGGAAGAGTTGTTGCATCGCCATTACCGGGACCCCGCAAGGAGAAAAGTAAAGCAAAGCAAGATGAAAATACCAGCAAAGACTCGACTGGTAAAGAAAGCAAAACTTCAAGGGGGAATAAGAAAAAACGCAAAGAACGCTCAAAATCGCCGCAATCGGAGCGGGATTCGGATAAAAATATAAAAAATAAAGACGAAAAAAGGAATGATCAAGAAGAACTAACCAAGGAGTATGTGGTACCGAATTTTGAAGACATTGAAGAAAGGTCGAGGTACACACAGTTTCCTTCGCCTACAAAGGGCGCAAGGTCCCATCATCCGTTGTATGAAAGTGAGATTGATTCTGGGATTGCTGATGATTTGATCACACCACCACAAGCACTGTAAGTAGGGTTATTACTAGGAAGYGCAGATGGTAGGAAGCATAATCAGGTATTGCGCTGGGTCTTGCGACCCACATAACATCTCACATCGGGCTCCCCAGTGTTGTGTTGTGGGTGTCAATCAATATTTATAGGAAGCCCTTTTCAACACAAGTGAAGTTAGTCTTGGGATGCATTGAAATTGTGCATTGCATCGGTCATATTTTGCGTAAAAATGCATTGTTTCTGCAATCCTTGAATAATGTTTTACGCTTCGATTTTGCATCAGTCAAAATTAACGGTACACAGCGCGTAACATTTGCTGGGCAAGGCGCTGTTACTTTTACGAGTTGGTAAGATTGGAGAGGGCCTCTACCCTCTACTGCGCAACCCGAGAAAATTCGTTGCGCGCAGATTGATAATATGAGCAACCTTGTTTCTTACGATTGCTATAACTCACGATTTAATTTTGTTGCGCGTCAGTAACGCATCGTTAACGAGGCATTACGAAGCTCAAGCCTTTTGCAGATAGTTCAAAGCAAGAGCGTTAAACTCTATATAGCTATATTTTGGGTTGAGATTAATCTTGTTTGACTGTGTAGCATCGTAGAATAGACCCTTTGCAGCTCAGTAATCTCGTGTTGATTAATTCACTGAGAACAAATGAATGAGCAAACACACTTTCTATAACCTGTTTCGAGAGATCGTAATAAGACTGCATTTCGTAACACACTGGTTACACATCGTTTTATTCAGTTCTTCACAAGTAGCTAAAAAGAATCACCAATTTAAAATAAAAACAAAAATTTTGCTCACCAGTACAGACACGTAACCGTTAACTGCAAAGGACCTATTGTGTACATGATCTGTACCAAGGTGATGTTTAAGCGGCTGAGTCTCTCGAAATGGGTCTTGAAGTATTCATTTGTCTTATTTTCAGAAATGACTCTTTTGGGACGAAAAAGAACAATAAAGAGTTTCATGATATACTTGTAAATGGTGTAAACAGCAGCGCACTAGATGAAAATGAAGAACTAGCCGGCCAACAAGCTTTTAATAAAGGAAACGAGGGAGATCCTCATGCAAAGGACTCCAAAACAATGCGAGGTGACGGCAAAGGAGAGCAAAACATAGCAAAGCTTAGCGATAAAGATGGCGCCGGCAAAGATGGAGTAGGCAAAGATGGTAAAACAAGTCACAAAAAAACAAAGAAAACCGTCAAAAAAACAGTGAAGAAAACAGACGATTTTGACGAAAAGTTGAAGAACCTTAAAGCGGTTGAGCCACCGCCATTACAAATCCCAGATCACGGAGATATGTCGCTTGAAAAGGACACCCCGTCTGCGAAAGATAGAAAACATAAGATTGTTGAAGAATTGAGGGGGGAACTTAGAAAGACAAAGAATGAAAGAGTTGATCTAGAAAAACAAAGAGACCAGAAAGTACGCAAGGCAAAATCGCTGCAGACTCAGACGCTTCAAAAACGTAACCAAGGTAACGATGGTTTCTTTTTCTCACGGCTTCGCACGAGGAAATGTTGACATATTAAAGCTTTTGATTGGAGGTTGTGCATGTTTTTGATTGGTTAATTTATAGTAGAAGCCATTTATCAGTCGAGGTATTTTTGATCTCGTTGTTCAAGTTGTTATATGTTAAAGATTAATGGACAAAAATACCAATAAATAATAATTCAGGGAACTAATAGCTTATATTCTTAATTTTCACAGCAAAGAGCATTTGGAAGAAGAAATTCTTTGATGAAAAAAGGAAAACTGCTCCTTTAGAGGAACAACTAAACAGATTACGATACGATGTTGAAGTACAACATAAAGCTATAGTATCTTACCTGGAGACAAATAGAGGTATTTAGAAACTTTATTGTCAATTAGAATATGACATAAAAATTGATGTTTACTGCTGATATAGAGGATATTACATGAGCGCGCGGAGAAACGAAATTTATCTTCGAGAAATTTATCTCCAAGCGCCCATGTAATATTCTGTTTATTATATAATTATCTTTWAAATCAACTTAACAAGCTTTTTATTATTATGAAAAGTTTTTATTTATAAACTAATAGCACGGTAACGATATTTTCACATGTGAAAATATCAGTTTTTCGAAAAGGAGAAATATAGGTATTTTATGGATAATTATATGATAACCGATATTATTACTAGTGGGGTGGTGGGGATGTAATTTGTATCTTCACATGAGACGATATTTTTTTAACAATCAGCGTCCAAAAATTTTCGCGCGCTTTTTATAGACGCGTCCTTTATCCGTTATACAAATTGATTGCCATATTTCTATTCGGTGTGTACATAGCGTTCACCAAGTGCACTAGGTTCTTGAGCCTTTGAATTTACGCTCAACTTAAGAATATTGTGCAGACTTGTCTTTAATTTGGCTTTAAAGGGGCGCAGCAACAACGACTGATAACGTTTTTTGTGTGTGTAACAGAACGTGATGGTGTCAGAGGAACCCAGGATCAAGAAAAGACTCCTTCAGAAAAGGTAACGATACTTGGAAATATGTCAAAAAATATGGATTTTCTTATTTTATTTTTTATATATTTTTTGTAACGAACTGTGTTTTTATGATGGTTGCAGACTAACCAACTAATGCTTCTGGCGAAAATGCAAAACGAAGTCGAAGAGTTAAAACACAAAGTTGAAGAGACAAAAATGAGGCTGGCCTCTGAAATGAAGGTAAAGATCTTGCCTTATTTTCTTGTTGCATTGTTTGTTTTCATGTAGCCCCAAAATTCCTTTGTCTTTCATCCTTTCTTCTTTCCTTCTTCCTTCTTTCCTTCCTCCTTCTTTCCTTCCTCCTTCTTTCCTTCCATCCTTAAATGACATAACGTAACGTCAATTGATGGCAACAATGTTGCGAGTTTGTAAAAGTCGTTCAAAAAGCTGCATCATGTTCCCGCAACTAAATATCGTTAAAAAATTCAACCGCGCGCCGCGTCACACGAGGCCAGATTTTAACTCAGCAATGTTGCGCGAAAAGAGTAAATGGTTTGAACTCAGGTGTTGAAGTTTTTTGTTAAGTGTGATCGTCCGGGTGAGTGTAATATTGAGAAAGACTGTTGTTGGTAGTGACTGACAGTTTGTTGTGAAGTGTAATGGTCCAGGTGAGTGTAGTCTAGAGAAAGACTGTTGTTGGTGGTGACTGACAGTTTGTTGTGAAGTGTACTGGTCCAGGTGAGTGAAGTCTTGAGAAAGACTGTTGTTGTAGTGACTCACAGTTTGTTGTGAAGTGTAATGGTCCAGGTGAGTGTAGTCTAGAGAAAGACTGTTGCTGGTGGTGACTGACGTTTCAACAACCAAGCGGAAGTCATCTTCAGAGTCCAGTGAGAAAACGTTACGCAAAAAATCGCTGTTGCAATTCGTCTTGTGTAACACCACCTTAATACTGTCTGTTGTTCTTTCCCTAGTTACGTGACAATGCACAAAGCGAACTAAAACAACTAAGAGAAGATTTACTGGACAAGAAAATCAACCTGACGTTAACCAAAAGTCAGAAAAGTTTGCTGTTGCTTAGCAACCAAGAAAACATCACAGCACAGTAAAATGGCTGATATATTGTTATTTATTTATTCTTTAACGACCATAACTTTCAAGGAAGTTTAGCCTAATGAGGTTTTTATGGCCAACACTTGAGAAAAGCCATGAGAGCATCAGCATCAGAGAGAGCTTAGACAAGTTGTAAGTAGATCTTATATATCATAATAAAATGCGAGTTGGAAAAAAACTTGGAAGCTGAAGAAACTGTAGATAAAATTAAATATTTTATTAGAAAACAAACTTCCGGGTTGTTCTAATCGAATTTTTAACTTAAAATTCAAAAATTTAGAAAATTTTTGAATTGACGAAATGAAAGATGAAGGCGAAAATAACAAAGAAAATATTCTTTTTTTTTTTTTTTTGCCCCGAGCAGTTTCGTTTTGATGATTTGATGTTTGATGTGATGTTTATCTTATCTCTTATCGACAGTTTTTGTATCCTATTTAATGGCAGCAATCATCCTTGCTCAAAGCAAGCAATTACTATATTTTCCATTCGGTAAAGTTTTGTCGCCAGACAAAAAAGCGAACCGACGGAAAAACCTGAAGAACCTCTTTACGGTAATGCAATAAAAAAACTTATCGAGTTATCTTGAATGCTTGGGTTTGATTTCGTACCAGAAATAACCCATATTTACGCGGCTGACATTGAAGTAGAAAAATTATTGACAGCGGGGGTTTTTATTTTCTTCTTTTTTTGAAAAGAAAAACTTTGTTTTTTTTTTTACTCGAGTGCTCAGCCACTTGGGTGAGGTTTGAGTCTAGTGTTCAATCTTTCCCGGTCACTAGGCAACACAGCCACAAGCGCTATTAATAGTATATAAAATGCGATTGCCATTCCACCTGTTCTATTGAAAAATCGTTCTGGTATCTTAGCGCTACGATTCTACATTGCTAGGCTTTTTCCTAGAAGACTAGTCGAGAGATTATTTACAAAGACAGAGATACTAAGTGACAAAGTTTCATTATCGAGCGTCAGAATATATATCTGTCGCTGTTTGGTCTGGAGGGTGCTTAAAATTCGGTTTTTCAATTCGTCTGAGCTAGCAGGCCATCTCGAATCACATAGAATATATTAAATTGTTATTACGAATGTGGCAAAGTGCCAGTCGAAAGAGCTGAGCTATTGAAAATAGAACTGTGGGATGTTATAAGTAGGAGATGGGAGCGGCGAGAAAGATTCTCTGATCTTGTAAAAAAAATTGACGTAAAATGTTTTTCGCAAGACGAAAATGGAAATAGACGAAAATCCTCCTAGGAAAAGTTCATTAATTGTCGCCAAGTCAAACGGCGAAGATACTAAACAAGACGATTCAGGGATCTTGGATACTACGAAGTTTAAAACGCTCGAGGAGCAAGTGAAATTTTACGAGCGAAGAATTAGGTCTTGTCACAAAGCAAAGCAGAAAGAAAAGGAAGGTGACGAGCTTTGTAATTTAGGGATTCTGTACTACAAGGCAGGTCGGCTTCAAGACGCAAGACATTGTCACGAAAGACATCTGAACATTGCTAAATCGATTCGCAGTCCCAGGAGCGAGAAGAGAGCGTATTGTAATTTGGGCTGCACGTATCGCAGATTGGGGAATCTCGACAGAGCGATCGAATGCTACGAAGAAGGACTCAAGCTCGCAAAGGAACTCGGCGACAGGACAGGCGAAGGAAAGCTTATAAACAATTTAGCTAACATTTTTGAGCAGAAAGGAGACTTTGATCAAGCTGTTTGTTACCATCAGAGACGACTAAAGCTTGCAAAGGAGTTGAATGATTTAGATGCAGAGAGCAAGTCGTGTGCGAGTATTGGGAATATCCACCATTTGCTTGGAAACATCCGAGAAAGCATTGCTTACTACGAAAGGCTCGTTGCAAGCTTGAAGTTCAAACTCGGTAAGAAAATATATTAATTTCTGTGTTTTACTAGACCTAGCTACGCTCATGATATATACAGCGTACAACTACGGTATTCGCATGAAATATTGATAAATATTTTATTATACATATATTATATATATATTTAATGGTAAATTGCGTTTGAAAAATGATTTTTTTTTTTCTTTTTTTTTCTTCTTTTTTGAAAATAATTTTGGGCTGTACTTAATTTCCGGAAAAAACGCCTTAAGCATTTTATATTTTGTTAATTTCCAAGGGCGCTTTTCAATTCAAAATAATGTCAAAATTAATTTATTGATTTCATGAGTTCATAAAGGGGTTTAAAAATCTAAAAAATGAGTTAGAAATCTGTAAAATTATGCACCAATACCAACAAACAAACTAAATGGAATGTAGAATTGAAAAGAAAATGGTCTAGCCAGTGATTTAGTAATTCATAGAGGTAGAGGTTCTAGAGTAAAGAATTTTAGGTTTGAATAGCGGCTAGCCACATGTGGTTGGATTGAACCCCATATTTAATTAGTAACATCCACCAAAACCATACTACAGTGTGGTTAAATAATTACTCTTTCCAGAACTAAATCGCTGGGGTTTTTTCAAAGTTAATGCAAAAAATTGAAACAGTCATTGAAATGAGAAGAATAGAAAAATTGCGAGAGGAAACAAAACTAACTCAAAATCAAACAAACAAAGATAAGTTCTGGTTTCGTTCCAATTTAAGAATTAAGCCAGAAATTTCATGTCATTTATTTTGTTTGTGGTTATGAGTTTTCTTTTCATGGCACACAAATGTCATTCACGAATGCAAGCCTTGTTTCAACAACTCCAAAAACTGTTTATCGATAAGAGTCCGTATAATTGAAATACCACATAACAAAGTTAATAGACAGATTACGCATTACATTTTTCTTCACGTTTACGACAATGTTTTCCTGAATTTCACTTTAACTTTTGCAGTTTACAAGTATTCCAGCTTTTACTTCACGACTACTAATTAGATTTTTTTTTGATTCTTTCGCTAATCCCAAATTTTCTTCAGTCATTTAACGTTTGAAGTTTGTGGTAAACGAGTTGTTTAAACTCTATTATTTTCTTTGTGGCTGCGATATATGAACTTTTTTAACTTTTTGTTTGTTTATTGAATAATTTAAAGAATACTTTCAAAGATACTAATGTACATCTTTTCTGTTCTTCTTAAGCTCAAAAAGATAAAAAGGCAGCGAAGGTCGAGGCTAATTGTAATGGAGAAGAGAAAGACGACCACTTTGAAGACGATTATTCATACCCTGGAGCCTCGACTCCAAACCGACGAAACAGCGACTCAATCAGCGTGAATAGCTCGAAAACCGATCCTGGTAGTGTAGGCACGGATCCTAAGTCGGGCACTTCAAATGGATAAATCAATGTTTTATGTTCAGAGGAAGACTGGTAACGAGTACGTGCCTCATGGAATCATGGGGCTGACTTAAAAGAAAATTTTAGGGAATATATTCAGAAAAACTCGTACGGTTTTTACGTAATGTGAGGCAAACTTCAGTTGGTTTCCGACCTAATAGTTAGCGGTGCCCTCTGATATAGATCACCCCATGTTTCAGGGTTTTTTCGGCTATCTGACTTGCCGGTGACGATAGTTGAGCCTGCATTCAAAGATACACCGCTGATTACGTAATATATCGTTACCAGTCTCCCTTTAAACTTTGGAACACTAGAATCATTAGACAATTGACAACGGCGTGGTTGATAACCTTTCTGCAAACAGTGGATTGCTTTTTTTTCTGTACTAGTAAAAAGCACTCGTGTGATCCTATCTCGAGGTACCGCCATCATCTAACAAACCGAATAAGCCGTGCACTTTTCGTTTACAGAAAAGAAAATAAACTCAAACGCCGCGGAAATAAAGCTAAGAGACACGGCTCGACTTTAGTTCATTGGCAGGCAATAAAACGACTTTATGCTTCTGAATATCGAGGCAGCAGATAAGATCAGTTTCTTATTGATGCGTAATAAAGTAACATCAAATATGTGCCGATAAAAAAACGTTCTTAGGTCGAAGCTTTTAATATAAGATCAAAGAAAGATAGCGCGGGTTCAAGGCGGCGGCGTAGACACATTTTCTATGCGCGCGCCGATTTAGTAACCATTGAGATTTTTGGCCAGTACCTGGAGAGACTGTCTGGCGCAAACCGTAGAAATCTGAAGGCCTGGGTACGAGATGGTGCGCACGCATGGTCTTCCACATCCTGACAAGAATCCTGCCCTCAAGTAGCCTTCAAGCGCATTTGGCCGCCTTCAACCTCCAATTTTCAAGAAGTACGCACCTAACCTGAGTTTCAGGCACAAGGGAGGGGAGGAGAGAGGATAAATAGCATTGGAGTCAGGCCCTCCTTTCTCCCCTCCCCTAGGGAGTTTTTTYCCCCCGAGTGAAATGAACCCTCAACTCATTACGGGCCTTTTTTTWAAACAAATTTTATTTTAAAATGGCGAACATAGTAGTAGAGATCTCGAGTAAATGATTGCTAAGTTCTTTTAAAATGTCCTTACTAAGTATCTCTATATGTACATTGTCTGCTAATAAGAATTTTTAAGATTTTAAGCTATATATAGTATAGTGCGTTATTCAGCTAAAATATCCTAAACTACTGAATTGTGAATAAAAATTGCAGCTCTAAGCTCTTCAAATCGAAACTTCTTACTTATATAAACTTTTCCTGCATTTTAGTTCTATTTAGTACYGTTCAAAGCAGCATTGGTCCTACCCAAGTTCAGAGGTGACTGTTGTTCTTGTGGCGCAAAAGACTTTGGGACTGATTCATCGCGAGTTCTCAAACGCACCCAACAATCCTTTACATCAACAGTTCATTACCAGTCTTCCTCTAAGCTTAGTAAAATCAAATGATGAGGACAAATGTTACGAGGTATTGCAATGCATTTATGATGACATATTTGCAAGATTAAAAAAGCACAAGGGAAATGATAAGGTATAAGCTGTAGTACAAGTATCTATATATTTACTACTTTTTTGTTTCATCCACGTATTTTTTTATTTTCATATTTCTGCTCCGAGCTTTCGGGTTACAAACCCATCGTCAGGGAAAAATTGATTGAAATTTTAAAAAATATAGTCAAGTCGTGATTCCCACGAACAAAGAAACTCTTCAACTTGTCTATATATTGTTGACATAACGACCCGAACTGGTGAGGCGGCAGAGACGAGACTGTGAAGCATCAATCGCAAGATTTTAAGCCACAAAACTGTTCTTACTTTAAGCATAAAATATTCTGCTCCTATTCTTGATTTTTTCGCTTCTTATTTTCAAATGCTTTCTATTGTTGGTATTGGTTACCGCCATCTTGGATGAATTCAGTGAATATTCTTTTATGTCTCTTGTTGTGACATCCAATATGGCCGACACATTTTCTACGTTTTTTGTTCTAATTTTGTGATCTAATTTCTAAGTGCTTCAGGTTTAAGTATGTATTATAAAGATGATAACATCCAATAGCGGTTGTTATCGGTTGTCATTGTGGACATCATCGTTTTAGTTTCACGATAATATGGCCTAAGGACTGCCAAAGGCTCTTGAATGATGGTCTGGCTTCCTCCCTAAGAAATGATCGCAAAGATTAGATTTAAAAGATCAGCTTCTTTCAGTTGTATTCTGAAGGGTTAGCTGTAAGCAGGCAAAAAAATAAAAAAGGAGAAAGAGAATGAGGAAGCAGGGTGGAAGGAAGAATGATGATGAGTTGGAGAAACAGGAGAAGGAGGGAGGAAATGAAAAGAAGATGTAAGTGGAAGACGAGAGGAGAAAGGGGAGAAGGGAAAGGAAATGGGAGGGAAAAGAATGGAGGAGGATGAAGTAGAAGGAAACTTTAAAAACTTTAAACTCTGATGGTTTCACACAGCCAAAAAGAAAAAGAAAAGCTATGGGGAGAAACTGAAACAAGAAATAGCTTCCTTTACAGAGCAGGTTACCCAGGTTACCCAGCAAGGAGAAGGGTGGAAGGAGAGAGAACGAGAAGGAAGGAGAGAGAAAAATTGAGAAAGTTTGAGAACAAAGAAGGGAAGGGACGAGAGAGAGAAGGAGCCAGGAATGAGAAGGGAAAAAGGCGACGAACGAAAAGGCGAAGGAGAAAGAGAAGAGAAGGAAAAAGAGAATAAGAAACAAGTGATGATGAATCAGAAACTTTTAGAAATTTCTGATGAAAGATAGAGATTTTTCACAGTACGATATCTTGCTTTAAAGTAACATATTATACTTACTCATATTCCCAGCAACTTTTCATGAGTTTGTAAACTTCATCAGGCACATTTGGAGGCGATGGAAGCCTGTATCCACTTTCTAATTTCTCAATAATAATTTGCCCATTCATTCCCTGATTAAAAACAACAAAACGATAAATGCTAGGTATATCATGGTTTCTAGTRGTATCATGGAATATCCCACGAGGCACTCGCCAAGTGGGATATCTAATGTGTCATGAGAAGCATGATATAACTATTTTATTTCRCATTATTGAAAATTATAACGCCTTGCTGCAATACCTGGTGTGAAGGAACGGTGGAATAACGCCGAATAAACAATTACTTTCATGCATTCTCATTAGCAGTGTATTTTCAATGGTGCGGGTTAAAATTTCGAATTATTTTTGTTCTACCTGATAAGGTCTTGCACCGTATGACGTAGCTTCCCAGAGTGTGACGCCATAGCTCCATACGTCACTCTTACTTGAGAATTTTCTGAAGTAGATACATTCTGGTGCGTACCATTTGAGAGGCCATTTGCCTGGCGTTACAGCCTAAAAAGCAAAGATACAAAAAAAATATCACACTTTAGTGACAATAATTAATGAGATTTATATTTCTATTGCAATATGCACAGGAAAAAAACCGGATTCCCAAATTTGGAATTWGTTGGAAATTTCCTTGAATTCCCAACGAATTCCCATCCAATTCCCAGAGAGAACGAAATTGTTAGTTTGTTGGGAATTTTGTTTTTCTATTGGGTATTAGAAGAAAATTCCCAACAATAAATCCCAACATTGGTGTTCGAATTGGGAATTCAAGGAAATTCTCAACAATTCCCAATTTGGGAATCAGGTTTTTTTTCCTGTGATGGTGGGTATATTTATATTTTTTGCTGGTCGATTTCGTTAGGCTTCATGACACCTCAGTTTTGCAGTGGCATCATTTCAAGGTCACTCTTTCAGATGAGCTGGCAATGTTCTTTTTATTACCCTGTAGTAATCACTTCCGGCACCCATAGCACGTGACATGCCGAAGTCACTGATTTTCACGAAGCTCTCGTTTACAACCAGCACATTTCTTGCTGCTAAATCTCGATGTACGAATTGATGTGCTTCCAAATACTGCATTCCCTGTGTATGAAAAAGATATGATTTGTAACTAAACGATTGAAAGAGAAATAGTAAACATATGGAACAGATTGCTGGACTCAGCATCACATGTGAGTAGAGGTTGTCAGGTCTCTCCCTTAATTCGTGGGTTTTTCTGCAGGTTCTCCCGTTTTCCTCCCTTCAGAAAACCCAACATGCTAAATTTATGCCCTTAGATCAGCCCAAAGGTGGTTTCAGGTTTGATCTGTGAGTTAGCCATGCCCTGACTTAGATCAGCTCAGAGGTTGTTTCAGGGTTTGATCTGTGAGTTAGCCATGCTCTGACTTAGATCAGCTCAGAGGTTGTTTCAGGGTTTGATCTGTGAGTTAGCCATGCTCTGACTTAGATGAGCCCAGAGATGGTTTCAGGTTTGATCTGTGAGTTAGCCGTGCCCTGACTTAGATCAGCCCAGAGGTGGTTTCAGGTTTGATCTGTGAGTTAGCCATGCCCTGACTAAGATTAGGGGATATATACTGCATTTTAGAAACGACAAACAACTCACCTCTGCAACTTGCAACATTAAGATAAGAGTACTTAACATGGGCATAGTCCTGTGATAGTAAAATAGTAAGGTATCAATTATAGAGAGGCAATGTACCATTTTCCTGCCAAATCCACAGCAATCTGCATGGATTAATTAAATTTTGGTGCCGAACGCAAACTTTTGGGGGATGTGCCCCCCTCCCCCCATGCCTCCCTTCCTACACTAGCATAGAGAGTCATTGGTTCAATCAAAATGGTAGGGTCGCCTGAAAGTGCTATCAAGAAACACTCCTTTTCCCCTGCCATTGCAACTTTGCTTTACGAGGCGCCTTTAGTTGGGTCTTACTTTGCGCCTTGCACTGTAACTTTCGTTGGGCTTTACGTTGCAACTTTGCCAACTGTCTAATAGCATTGCAGGCTCATATATTTCCACGTGACCGCATAATTGTATTATTATTAATATTAATATCAATATTAATAGTAATGAGAAAAGATAGAATAGCCCAAAACACTTCTTGAGCCATAAGCCCCTGACTACTTGGCTGTTAATCAAGCTAATGTTGACAGAAATAAAGCAATGTTTTTGCCACAAACAGAAGAGTTTGAGACCGCAATGCTAATAGATGCTTTGCAAAGTGACAACGTAAGGCACAGTGGAAGTGACAATGTGTAAAGGTGCAACACAAGGCGCAATTATGGGAGGGGGGAAGTATCACTTCACCATCAGCATAGACATGCATCAGTGATTATAGTAAAATAACAGAGTGTCAGTGTCAGTGTCAGTATTACTCTTAGTCTAAGTCTTATCGATTCCTTATTGATTCAATAGGAATGGCTTGCTATCAAATTGAATATTTTGGCTTTCTTACTTATGAGTTTTCAGGTATTTGTTAAGCGGACCCTCAGCAGCTAGCTCCATCACCAGCATCATTGTGGGACCTTGACACATCCCTGGAAACGATTGATAAATTCATTAATGAGTAGGTTAACTCTTGCTTCTTACTTACTTCCCATTTTTCCCCTCTCCTTCTTTCCTTTCCTTATTTCCCCTTTTATCTACTTCCTTTTATTCTTCCTTCCTCCCTCCCCTTTCCTTCCTTCCTTCATTCCATTCTTTCTTCCTTGCCTCATTCCCTCTCTCCCAAGTTTTCCTACTTATTTTCTTCTTCTTTTCATTTCCTCCTAAACTGTTTATAATATCTTTCAAAGAAAGTCCAATTCAACGAATACAATTTTTATGACTCACCGATGATCCTCACAATGTATGGATGATCTAGCTCCATCATGACTTTTGCTTCATGCATAATCTCTGACTAAAGAGACAAACGAAATGCAATTTAAAATGCACTGATTAATCTTTGAGCTTACAGATTGCAACCTATGATTTTGATCAGTCCAGAGGTTGTTTCAGGGTTYGATCTGTGGGCTAGCCATGCCCTGACTTAGATCAGCCCAGAGGTCATTTAAGGGTTTGATCTGTAAGTTAGCCATGCTATTACTTAGATCAGCCAATAGGTTGTTTGAGCTGAGGGTATCAACAAAAAGTTGATTCTTCAGAATTGAAATACTGATTTCCTTTTAAAATAATTTACCTTAGGATTGTTAAGTTCTTCAGATTTCAAACTCTTCACAGCGACAGGTATTTTTTCCCCAGATGGCATTGTATAGGTACCCTTCAACACTGAACCAAAATTACCATGACCTGAAAATAACAAAATTTGAAAGCTGCATTAAGTCAGCTATTCAGATTTTCAAGTAACTTTAGGTTATGTACAGTAGTTGGAGTCAGTCTCTCAATCATTCATAAGCCTGTGCAGTCAGTCAATGCAGTCAGTCAGTGCAGTCAGTCAGTGCAGTCAGTCAGTCGGTGCAGTCAGTCGGTGCAGTCAGTCGGTGCAGTCAGTCAGTGCAGTCAGTCAGTGCAGTCAGTCGGTGCAGTCAGTC